AATTCGAAATTTTTGACGCGATCAAAAACGTATTTCTATGGGTCCTGACGTCACAAGGCAGTAATAATCGGGTCGCGCCGCTGCCACGCCATGTGCTGCTGGTGTTGTCAATGTCAAATCTATCATAAACGGCATACATAACAACATAACCATGATCTAAATCTACCTGCTCGAAGGTCATTTTCAGCCAAGGACTGTGAACGGAATTTTGTTGCTGAGTGACGTCACACTAATCGGTCGTTTCAAATGGCGATGTTTCGAGCGTAACTTCAAATATTTATAAAAAAATTAACGACTGATTTTTAATGCTTGATATTTGGCATGACTATGTCTTTAGTGTAGTACAACACATTTTTGAAATAAAAAAAAAATGTGCAAGTTCCCTATTATCTATTCACAATCCGATGTCCAAAGGTACAGGTAAAATGTATCACCTTCCAGTGCTATTTGATAGGGAAAGGTGATAAATTTACCTTTATCTTTGGACTACGGATTGTGAATAGGATATACATGTTTTACAAAATTATGTCAAAATATCTTTTTTCTACTACCGTGCGTAAAGTACTCGCTTTACGCACTATTCAGAAGACGTAAAATTTCTCTTCACGCACTAGTGCGTAGAATAGTTCACTTCACACACTAGTGCCTAAAGTAATGTCAATGACAGATGTCGACCTGTCAAATTACTATTTTTCTGGTAAATTACTTCACGCACGCGTAAAGAATTTGTCTAAATTTATTTTTTCACGCATATTTGATTGGTAGTAGAAAAAATTTTGTGTGCAATACGTGCGTAAAGCACTGTTTTCACTGATGTGATTGTCGCACTCGCCTTTGGCTCGTGCGTCAAAATTCACATTCGTGAAAAAGGGTTCACTTTACACACTTGTTGCATAAATAACTATTTTCCGTAGGTAACTTAAATTTACCTAACAAATTCTTGTATGACATCAGTAAATTCTAATTCCTTCAGAATGTCTCTGTAGTCTTTCTATGCACATCAATGTTAATGAAGACAGGCGTTCCTTCTGCATTGTTGTTCTATATTTATTTTTAATTTAATAAATTTTGCGAAACATGACGCGAAAGACTAGTGCATCTAATATTTATTGTTTGTCCACGGGCCGTTGACCAGCAGAAGCCTCAATTTCGAAAGTAGGGCCCTTTCGGGGCCCGGGGCTGCAGCCCCGTTAGCCCCCCCTTAAGCCTGGCATTAACACGTGTTATTATATTTTTGTTACTTGTAATGTCTCCCCAGCGACTCTGTGTCTACGAAGCAACGGTGAGGGGAATGCAGTTGTAAAAAAAAATGGCTGATTTCATTCATAAAATATCCAGCTGCGTGCGGAACTTTTTGGAAGTGTTATCGTATTGCAACTCGTACACGAAAATCGATAATGACCAAACCTCCGCCACTGGATATTTCAATATAAATCGATATTCCAAGATGGGAGGATAAAATGACGTGAGCACTGGCCAATAGCGAGACATAAGGTGTCGTTAGCTCATTGACCACAAAACCTCATTGACAACCGTATGGTTCCACATGGCAACGGCGATCCTGCCAAAAGCTCCACCAATCAGGTTCATCCAGGCCGGATGCTTGCCAAATAGTCAAAAGCTGATGGTATCTTTAGGAAATGTTTTTTTTTTACAATAGACCAAATTGAAGAAATCAGGAATAAAATAGGAATAGATCCAACAACCACGTTAAAATATTTAGCGTTTTATTATTTTTATCAATATTTTGTTATTAAAAAATGGATTTTCAAATGAACTATACTTCATGCCTAGTTTTTTCGTTTTTTTATAATTAAACATGGCAACATGGCACATTTACGTCCGAATTCCTTCCGTAGACTCAGATCCGCTGGGCAAACAATATTTTGTATTTGTCATTGTGTCTTCGGCTAATGCCGATATCCATGCGCTTCTTGCCATATATGTATATATTTTATATATTTTAGGATCATCATTATACTAAGCAGCAATAATGAATTCACCCATAATACTTATCCTTTCTTTTCCTATTAAGTAGTAAAGAACGAAAATAGGTCAGTAGTGAGTTGTGAAATAACTAGTTTTAGGTCAGCCATGTTTTGAAATGATTTACTATTGAGAAATTCGACATCCTGGCATGTTTGGGAAAGTGACGTCCCTTTCCTATCCGATTTTCAAATCAACTTATTCTCAAAAATAGACGTTATCTGTATACAAATACAGATTTTATTAGAATGACTTACAGATTAATTTAACAATGTGAAAGTTGTCTATTTTTGTCAGAAATTCACCTGTAACATACCCAAATGTTACGCCTCTATTCTTTTTCGCGGGGCGACAAAAATGTTCGCATTGGGCCACTTTTTCGGTTTTTTTTTGGTGAGGAGGAGAAATTTTGTTCACGGAGCTTCTTCTCTCCTGATGAAGGAAATATTTTGGACATTCAACGTGATTGAGATGAAGTACTGATTCCCTTGCTGCATTAGGCGCCCACCATAGAAAAACCTTAATATAAAATATTGTAGGCTTTTCCTCCGGGATATCAATTTATATTGCGTGGACCAGCAACACGTGAAAAGGTAGTTGACAGCGGTTGTCCCAGAGACAGATAATTTTTTAAAGTTTGTCAAGTTTATACAATTTTTTACAATTAAAAGTGGATATTACAGATTACTGAGTGAACTTTCAATAAAGATATTTATTAAATCTCGCTAAGGCCTCCTACAATATATAGAATATTTCTATTTTTTTTACAAAAAATGTACATGTCACATAAAATACGCTGAAAAAAAAAAATGTGGACATGCCTTGGGGGGGGGGCTGCAGCCCGGCAGCCCCCCCCTGGATACGCCTATGGTTTCGTCTATTTCATAAGACGGTTTTACACTGAGAATTTCATACATCTGTCAAAACTGGTATTCCAACAATAAATTGACATGTTTTGATTGTTGATTTGAACCAATCATATTGTAATTACGCGATAATTTGCACTAGTGCAAATTATCAGATAATAGGCCTGTTCGCAGAACAATCACAAACCAGTCAGAGTGAATCTCATTGGTTGAAAATAGTTTTCTGACTGTTTCTGATTGTTTTCAACCAATGAAATTTGCTCTGACTGGTTTGTGATTGCTGTGCGAACAGGCCTAATTGCATACTAACTGGTGCGAAAACTGGTGTTTTGACATTTTTTGACAAAAAATTTAAATTTTTGATTTATGAAATTCTCTCATTAAATACAACTCGTGCAATGGAAATATATTTATAATTTTCGACAAATTTGCACTCATGCGTTTTTAACTGAAAAAGGCACTCGTGCACTACGTGCACTCGTGCTCTTTTTCAACTAAAAATGCATTCGGGCAAATTTCCCAAAAATTATCAATAATTTCCATTGCACTAGTTATATTACTATTGACAATTTATTGGTCAATTTATTGATCAAGTCGCTTGTCAAGATATATTGATAATGTAAAACGCCAAATTGACGGCAATTTAACTTGTCCAAGTTCTCGCTCAATTTATTGACGGATTAGCGCATGTTCTATTTTTCCGTCAATTTTTTTGTCAATTCAGGATTTCAACCTAGAAATGACTTTTTAAAAATATTAAAGCTAGGTGAGGATATTTATTTTTATTTATCATTTACTTGTTGATGTTCAGTTTATTCTTCTACCTTCAGTTTCTTCTAGTTTTATGATTAAACATCTTCAAATATATTTCTGGGTGAGCCATAAATAAAAATACATAACCTTGAAATGCTGGTTAAGTTGGTAGAATTGTTTATTGTCGTTTGTGTTGTCAACAAGCTGATCCAGTGTAAAGCAAAGTTGAGCCATTGTTGAGCCAACATAAATTGGCAAATTAATTGACAAACAAATTGATCAATTTAAATTGTCAGTGTAAAACTAGCAATACAAAAATGCATCAACTTCGCTAAGCCAAGTTTCTCCAAGAGCAAAAACGTCACATTTATTTTCATGAACAAAACATTGAACTTGATCTATTGTGTTCCTAAGACTCTGTATATTAGTATAGACTACATTTATTTTATTTTTAATTTCATACTAATCTTGAAGCTGGTTCTCGTCTGTAACAATCATAAATTCGAGTGTTTTCGTCTTTTCTTAGAAGGATGTTTCCCTCACTAATCCAGAAATATTTGTAATTTTGCTTTTTTTTCAAAATTCCTGGCAAATAAAGATGTGTAAATAAAATTTTCTGCTGGTGGTCAATTATTATCATTCTTTTGAAAAAAAATACTTAACCTACTCTTCACAAACATTTAATTGCCTTTTGCAAACTTAAAAAAAAACATCCGGCAACACCGCTAAATCTACGTGACGATGTTTGCGACTTTTGCGAGCGATCGGCTGATCGGCAGCATCCCTAGCCGTCTGCCTCTCCCGTACTGCTACTGCCGTCTGCCGTACCGTGATCGATCGATTGATCTAAAAATATCTTTGGATTGATCCGTCATCCGTTGGTCGGCCTTCGGCGGACGGCGGTTCTCACAAGTCACATCTCACGTTTGGTTCGCTTCGGATCGTTCGACTCTGTTGTGACGTATGGGACAAATGCAACACAAGAATAAAAGAAACATTACCAATGTTAGAACACATGGTTGTAACCTATTTTGTGTAATAAAGATTTAATTTTTGCATTTCTAAATATCATCAATATATTATGTGTTTTATTTTTTACTGTCTCTACTTACTTCTCAATTATTATTCAATAGTTTAATAGGTACTAATAGTAGATTATACCACGAGTCAATAATGATACAATAGTGATACATTTTTCCAAAAAATTTAACATTTGTGTTTTTATAATAATTTCTATAATTTTGGAAAGACGCTTATGAGAGAAATTGGCCTATAATTATTATTTTTTGAGTCATTTTTATGAAGGGGACAGACCTTGACTACGGATATGAAACATGAAAACAGGCACTATAACATTTGGCAAATAAATTCAAATTCGATTTTATTTTTTTTTAGATTCCAAAATGTCAGATGAAGCGCTTGAAGCGAAAATGCAGTCAGTGCAAGAATACATTCCATTTTTGGAGGATATGATGAGCGAATTAAAGGCGAAGGGGAATCGGACAGCTCGTCTGGAACAATTAAAGACTCTGCACCTCATAATTACAGAATCATCAAGAAAGTAAGTGTTTTTTTGAAGGTTTTTCTTGAAATGCTAAGCATATGCTTATCCTCACAGAAATAGGGGGGAAGGGTAAATTCTGCTCTGCTTTAAGCAATTATATCGACCTGTCAAAGGTGATGGGTGCTGAAGATAAATATCATAAATGAAGTCAGGTGGCTTAAGCGTAGTTCATATAGATGCGAATCACGAATTGCGGAGGCCGCTTTTATTGGTCAGTCCACTGTCAAGAAAAGGGACATCTGTCAGAGTTCAATATTTTGCGAATTCGCAAAATTTGAAATTTAGGAGGCGGGAAAATTGGAATTGGTTTAATATTTTGCGATATTCGTTGCGGATTTTATGCCATCGCATGCGTATTTCAAAAATGCTGTTGTCAGCTGCTCCTTCAGTTGTTTTGTTCACATTTCGGCTTTGGCCATTTCGTTATTTTCATTTAGGATTCTTTGATTTTGTCTAGTCTTTGTAATTATTGTCGTTTAGTTTTTTGTGATTTGCTGTGTGTTTTCTTTATTGTTTATTGCAATATTTTCCATGGTAATTTTATCTATTATTTTTCTCTCAGTCTCATTTATTGGACTAAATTATAATATTATGCGCTTTCTTGCAAATTCTCACAAACAATAAGAAACAACAAAAACAATTATTCAAGGTTATAACCAAAGAAAACATGTAAATATTAGTTTCAACACTCCAGTCTCCAGTGTGGCATCGAAAAATAAAGTAAATATTCCCAGAATGATTGCGAAGTTCGCATCTATATGAAAGGGCTGAAAAACACCGATTTTTTTTCCACGAAATTCGTGATTGGCATCTATATGAACTACGCTTTAGATTGTAGATTGAGGGAGCGCTGTTCGACTCAAAATTCAATCTTTCCACGATTTCATGTTAAAATACAGTCCACTTTCAAAGCAAAATTCAATATTTAAACCAGCAACGCATCACTGAACTCTTAGCACTTGTGAACTTTCGAGTACCATAGTACCATCGTGCAATACGGGTTTAAGCGACATATCCTTCAACCAATACCTAGGAGCCAAACCGATGTATCATGGATTTTTTCAATGCATATATCCAATGAACATTCCAATTAGTGGAGAGCCTACACAAAAAAAAAAAAAACGCCAAATTGGGTTACAAGCATGAAATTTGGCATAGTTGTCAGGAAGCTGATTTCAAGAGATCTGACCCGATTAGCCAGGCTCTACGACCCTCAAGTCTCCAATCTCGCATTTTTTTTTCAAAATGGCGGACGGGAATTTCCTCAATTTCAAAATTAATTCACTTGGGCTTGATTATACATTTTATTATATAATTTGAGGTCAAGGAATTAAAAAAAATATATTTTCGAAACGATATGACCTTCAGTAACCTTGAAAATTATAGTTTAATTCAATTTTAAAATAATTTTAATATAACATGTTTGAAACTAGAGGGGGGTTAAAAATCAATAATGATTGCTTAGTATAACATAAAAACTAAAATGTCTTATCAAAGACAAAAAGTTTCTTCTATAATAGATCAGCGCTGGCTGATGCGGTAGTAGGTACTAAGATGAAGCCATGTCATTACCTTATTTTTCATAGAAATGTTTCAAAGTATATGAAGGTTACAACATCTTTTTTTTTTTCAGAAAAATATATAAGGTATTGTCATGGCTCCGTGGTACCGTGGCACTACCTCAACAGCCGCTGCTTTAACAAATACTGCAAACTATAGGGATCGTTGGTTTTGACATTCGCCATTGCAGTTAGACCTGCTTTCTGACACGAACATCTGTTGGTCTCACTTTGACTTTCACATCCACACTTCTCTAGTCTTCTATGGGTATTTGCTCGGCTAAAACTTAAGGGATATTTAATTTAAGTGAAGCTTTGACTGTCACTTGTGTTTCTACAAGAGTCCCATCCTCCAGGTGATGGAAAAGGTTCACCGGGTGACAGCGATCGACCCCAAATTTGACCAGCTTGATACGCAGCTCTTCTGTAGTCTTCCATTAGACTGTCTTGTAACGGTGGACACATAGCTATTGGTCGTTCTCCACTACGAAACTGCACCTTTCTCGATTTATTAACTTTTTCAAGTTTGCTTTTTGCATCATATACTGGTATAGTGAATTTTTCTAAAATTTTGAATATATTTTTTAGAGTTTTTATCGTCTGTTATATAATTTAAAGAGTGTTAATTTTAGTGGCATGCAGACGCATAAATTAAAAGTTGATGAAAAATTTTCTTGTCTCGACTGGGATTTGAACCCAGGACCCCTACATTTCCAGTGTAATGCTCTACCAACTGAGCCACCGAGACCTGTCTCATTTTTACCCAGTCGATCAAGTCTTTCATCAATTTTTAAGTTGTTAGTTTGTGACCATCGGCAACCTTCGGCGGTTACCGTTGGTACGGGAGTAAGTTAGGAGGTATGGGGAACACATTCGCAATTAATGGTTGTTTGGAATCCATTATCCCTTCAACCAGATGCGTCGTCGACATATAGCGACATCGGCAGGCATCGGAATCGGACGCCCAACCATCAATATCAAGCCAATATTTTTACAATTTTTTAGAGTTTTTATCGTCTTTTATATAATTTAAAGAGATTACACTGGAAATGTAGGGGTCCTGGGTTCAAATCCCAGTCGAGACAAGAAAATTTTTCATCAACTTTTAATTTATGCGTCTGCATGTCACTAAAATTAACACTCTTTAAATTTGAATATATTTTGTGGTATATCTGTGCTACTATCCATGAGAGATAAATGATGGATGGGCAGGGTTGCCTCCGGATAATCTTCCCATATGCTTTCCATTCTCTGTTTTTTATTTCCAATAAAAAAAAAGGAAGTATTTTCGCACCCTGTAAAAGCATAAAAGCCACGCAATGCTAACGATTTTTCAGGTCCCAATAAATGATTTGCAATGTTATGAGCTGCAATATATCTTTGTGATTTGTTAACCCCATATACAAGCTACCATAATTCCTCAAGGACCAAGGATTTAATATGTAGAAACATTCTTTCATCTGCTTCCTCCATGTCGGCACAAGATAGTCCATCCAGACTGGTTTTGACATTATGTTAAACATTTGGTCCAAGATGGAGCTAAATCCGTTTCAGTACGATTCTCGGACACAGATGTTGTAATAATAGGAATATAATTTTTTGATAATATTGAACTCCTGAGGTCTTGAGGAATTATGGTATCTATATGGGGTTAGCAAATCACAAAGATATATTGCAGCTCATAACGTTTCCTTGAAAGCAGAAAAATCGTAAGCACTGCGTCGCTTTTACGGGGTGTGACACTACTTTCTTTTTTGCATTGACAGGAAAAAACAGAGCATGGAAAGCATGGGAAGATAACCGGAGGCAACCCTGGCTTTCCATTGTTTATCTTTAATAGATAGTACCACAGATATACCATAAAATATATTCAAAATTTTAAAGAAATTTACTATTACAGTTATTACACTATATGATGCAAGAAGCAAACTTGAAAAAGTTAATGAATTGAGAAAGGTGCAGTTTTGTAGTGGAGAACGACCAGTAACCTGAAGGATAGGGTTGAAATTTAACAAACAACCGCTGGAAGCCAGCTGCCACAAATTTGGTGAGCTCTAATGAGACTAGAGAAGTGTGGATATAAAGGTCAATGTGAAACTAACCTAACACACATGTTCGTATCGGAAAGCTATAGTACAATCGCATGTACTAACTGCAAAGGCGAATGTTAAAACCTGAAAAATAGCTTTCACAACCTAACCTTCATATGATATTTTGGAACATTTCTATGAAAAATAAGGTAATGACATTGCCTTATGTACCTTACCACTACCGCACCAGCCATCACTGATCTGTTGGAAAAGTTAATAAATTGAGAAACGTGCAGTTTCGTAGTGGAGAACGACCAATAGCCATGTGTCCACCGTCACAAGACAGTCTAATGAAAGACTACAGAAGAGCTGCGTATCAAGCCGGACAAATATGGGGTCGCTGTCACCCGGTGAATCTGTTCCATTACTTGGGGGATGGGGTTGGAATTCAACCAACAACCGCTGGGAGCCAGCTAGCACAAATTTGGTGAGCTCTAAGCAGCGCCGTAGCAACCATGGCGCCAGGTCCCACACCTTAGGGGGTCCACTAAAAGCAGGATAATCACTGACTTGAACTCAATTATTTTAATTTGATTGCATCATGTTAAAAATCTCAAAATCTGAAATGCAAACGTCCAAACGGTGTTTTCTTGTCTTGCGATTCGTGCGACGCGTGCGGCTCGTTCGGCGCGGATCAGTGGGCGCCTAACTTTAGAGGTTAGCTGCCCGTTGACGGCAACGCTGTGCTGGCTGACCTTGATGACGTAGCTAAAAGTTTATTTGGTATAAACCTGGTAACTTCAAAGACTCGCGAACACTATGTATTGTTTAATATTTTTATCCCATTTTGACGTTTAAAAATGACATTATTGAACGCATAACAATAAAGGTAAGTAGACGTTTATCACCTCAGTGATTTAAAAACATTTTAACTCACTCTCGGCATTTTAAGTCACTCTGCCTAACTAAAAATTTGAAACCTCAGTGATTTAAAATATTTTTAACTCACTCCCGGCATTTTCCTTGTACTTTATCTTTCAAATTTTCACAAAATGGGATAAAATTTTGTATACATCGCGTGAGGTAAAATGTTTATTCATTCGAAGAAAATTAACCCACTCGCTAGGGCTCGTGGGTTAAACTTTCTTCTCATGAATAAACATTCATTTAACTCACTTGGTGTATAAATAACTATTATTTCCTACTGAACTATTATAACCATATAATACCTTGGTTACGATAATCATAAACAGGGTCTTAACTCCCAAGGGAGTTAAGGATTTCATAACTCCCAAGGAAGTTAAGGATTTCCATAACTCCCGCTTTTCCCTTGAATAGGTGAAACTTTGACAAAAAATAGAAATTTTGGTTTATGGTTTATTTCTTTATAAAAATGGACAAAATACAG